GAATAACAGCTTTCTAGAGCCTAAAGTATTGCTTAAATGACTTCATTACAAACTGCCACAGCAGGAGAAGTTATCTGCTGCCAGGGGAAGGAAATGGAAGGCAAAGGGGGGGGGGGGGGGGAAGTTTCCTGCTCAAGAAAGCTTAAAATAATAGGTAAGCTGTGCCATGTTTCACTTATGATCCTCCAAATGCTGCTGAATTCATATTCCATCTTTGCTCGTCATTGGTCGAACTGGCTAGGGACAATAAATAGGATTGTCGAAAAATGTCTGTGGAGGGCCACAGGTTCCCCATTCCTGGCTGAATAAAGGTCTGGAATGAATTTTCAACCCCCATCTCATTAGCTGGTGAGCCAGGTAGAGGCAGCACCCAGGTGGGTTAGCATGAGGTCCCTTCCACTTTGGCAATTCAGTGGCCTTAACCCTGGAAGTGCCCTATTTAGCAAGATACCCCTGCACTGAATTTTGAAATGCGTGCTGGATTTTGAAAAGCAATTTTGAAAGGTTGACTCATCTCTAACATTATACCTAAATGGTCAGCTGTTTTCATGAAACTGTGCCACAAACAAATGACGAACTATGGTTGGACTCTGCCCCAATTCTGATCAAAATTACACAGAGAACAGAAGGGATGATAAGAAATAAAGGGTGGAACCTTACAGCTGAAAGAGAATTATTAGGGGAGTTTTCAAAATCTGTTTACTTGTTATTGGCACCAGATGCTCACATTTAAGAGTACATCGAGATATTGCTAGGATGTGGCCTGGAAGGCTGTTCTGAAAAGCTAAATCATTTGGTGATTATTCCCAAAGTGCAGAGTGTGACTGCGTATCTTGCACCATGTGAAAGAACAACCTCAACACAAAGGACAAAATGAAGATTCAAAGGTAGAGGAACACATACAAAAGGGTCCTAAAAGCATCATTCACTCTGACCCAAATAGGGGGGAAAGCACATGAGGGAAGGAAGACCTTAACAAAATACTTAAAGGAGCAATCACAAAGGAAGATGCTGAATCAGCTATGCAATTCAAAGCAAAATAGGTAAAAATAATGTTATTAATTTAACAAATTTAATTTAAAACATTTCTACCCCATCTTTCACTAAACGTCTCAAGGTGGCTTATTGTGGAAGCTTGTTCCCCCCAAATTTACCTTTTCCTATCTACAGTTTAGCCATGCTGCCAGACTGGACTGAAAGGCCACAATCTGATAACAGACAGACAGATTTTTCACCCATGCTAAAAACCTGCCAAGTTAATTTCCTTCCTAACCACCATCTCAGAGTTTACCTTATGGACTTCATGGGAAAGTCCATTCTAGCTGACACCGTAAAAACAGTTCTTGTTCCTGGCAGATACTAATTTAAACTCTGATTTCAACGCTTCTAGCAGGACTCTTTTAAAGATTTTGTAACAGTGTATTCCCTTTTTGGGTGTCCTCCAGATATTTTGGAGTATAATTATCACTTTCTCTTCCACTTTCAGATTCCTGCATTTCAACTAAACAATAAAACAGGGTGAAATTATATACTACAGAAGGAGGAAACTATGATTAATTTAAACTGTGTTTCATTCAAGCAAGCCAGGCTCAGATTGTGATTGCTGGCTGAGGTTGCTCAATATTCATAGCTGAAATTAACCAGAATATTCCAAATTCAGAGTTAAAGGGGAAACTCTGGTTAGTTTAAAAGTAGTTACAGATGATTACATGATTGCACCAAAAGAGGAGTGAGAAGCCCTAAGATCAGGCAAGCTTGTTGACCTAATGCTATTAAATGACAATTTAACATTATATTTGATTCATCTCAGTGTGTTAGGAGAGTCATATATGCACAGATCTTTCCTCAGGCATGCAAGGTCTAGACCATTCAGGACTCTAAAGGGTGAATACGAGCCTAGAAATTAAGTTGCAAACAGTGGTATAAAACAAGGCTGCCAAATGTTAAATAAACTACCTGTATCCAAAGCAGAGCCTAATCCTTTTAGGTGGCTGTAGTGGTGGAGGCTACAGCACAAAACATTTATTTATTTAAAATATAGGGCTAAAGGGAATTGGGAGAGCAGTCAGTCAACATGTCCCTCCACAAAATAGCAACTCTGGAATAATATGGTGTAAGCTTGGGATGGCCTCTTCCTGAGCTTCTCTGCAATTCCTCCCATAGCCTCTGTTAGCTGGAAAAGGGTACAACACCATCTGCACTGTCCATGAATCTAAACTGCATCATAGGGTCGATTTCTAATAGATATAAAATTTCATTTCTACAGGCTGCCTTTTTCATTAAGATATTTATTGTGAATTGTAGTAATTTTCAATATTTATGCTGCTGAAATTAGCACAAAGGCGATGTCAGGATCATATGCCTGGCCATTAAGTTTGAGTAGCCCCCTCAGAAATTATTTTAGCCCCCTAGTAATATGGAATGCTCCCCTGGGAAGCCATATGACCCACAATGAGAACCACTGGAAGCAACTAGGGCCAGTTAGTAATTACTCTGCTGCATTTTGGCCATATTGAAATTTCCAAACTGTTTTTAGGACAGCCTGATTGATTTCCATAAAGCCATGCAAGAAACACAAAAAGCAAAAAATGTAGGAAACTTAGTGATAAAGATGATTATTCAAGAAAGAAAATTTATAAGGAAAATGGACTGCACAAAACCCAACTATCGTTTCGGTGCATTGCAATATTCAGGAAGAGCTCCAAGGTTCAGGGTACAGGTTCTTTGTACCCTGGACACAAGGAACCTCATGATCAGAAATTCATTCATGTTAACCATAAATAAGAATGAACTAGGAAATCAAGCTTATGAGGAAATGAAGAGAGGGGCACAGAGAATACTTATAAAAAAGATACAAAGATGACAGGAAGCACCCTGGTTAAAAAATAATCAAAATAATACAAAGCCAGAAAAAATGCAATCCAAAATTAGTCATGAAACAGTAGGGGGATGCAGGAGAACAAGGAGTGACGCAACAGATAACAGAAACACGCTAGATCCAGAGAGCTTGAACAATGAAACAGCTCAATTACACGCAGAGTGATAGTTAGCCTGAAGAGCCTGGCTTAACTAAAAGACACCCTCAGTACAGCCATACTCGCTGAGATTCAGCAAGGAAATAAGTCAGCTCTATAAATAATAAACCATAATAGCTTCCTGCATGGCAGTATTTTCACCAAAGTAGTCATTAGCAACCAAGCAATAGGGGACACCTCCCAGAGAAGTTTCTGCTGCTGCCAAACTTCTGAGCAAAAGCACAAATATATTCTTGCCATTTGAGCAGATTTTTTTATCATTGGTTGCTCAAGAAATTTTCAAAGCTGGCAGTTATGTGAACAGAGGATAAACCCGTTACATATTTATGTAAAAGCTGTGTAAAAGTAAGCGTCCTATTTCTGAATCTTTCACACATTCTGCAGCCCAGGCAGTCACCAATCATCAAAAGTGATATAAACGCATTCTTGCTTTTCAAGAATATGCATTGTCACTCATTGTTAATGTTATCTGTTATCTAGACTAGAGATGTCATGCTCAGAAAAAATAAATAAAAAAACATCGGGGTAAAAAGTTTTTTCTAAAGTTTTCTGGAAATAAAAGTTTTTGTTTCTCTAGTGGTTTTCAAGTATGCACACCTCCAACCTAGACATGCTGTATTAAAAAAAGAGAAAATCCTATAATTTAAAAGGCCTTCATATTTGTTGTCTAACACTTCTTTTTTATAACTAATTTGGTCCCGACAGGTATTCCCCACATTCCAAGTTCCATCTGTATTAGTGTCATTAATTAGGGAGTAAGGTAATATGAGGTACCACAGCCCTAATGAAAAAGCCAGAAAACAGTGGGTTTGTGGGTGTGTTATAGCATGAATTATTATTTACTTGACACCCATGTTAAAGTTTCTTTTATAATAGCCAAGTATTATTAAATCAAAACTGTAGTTATAAAATTGATAGTAATATTTATTGACTTTTGTGCAATTTCCTGCATATACTGTAGCACTAAATGGAATTTTTGCATAGGGTCCCTTGGTATCTTTTTCTTTCTTTTTCATGTTACATTTTCTTTTTCTTTTTCTTTTATTTATAAACATTTAAAAGAGCCAGACAATGTATCAGATGTCAGAACCCTAGTGGAGAAACTATAAAGTGCAGATTTACTAGTTCACGATGCAAGTAGGAGACAGCTCCCTAGTAATATGTCCAATCTGAATGCTTCTCTCCAACAGAAATCCCTTCCAAATAGGAAAATAGCAAATATTTCTCTGCAACCTTCTTCACAGCCTGCTAACATTCCATAAACAGATTGCTACTGATATGAATGAGCAAAAACACGATTTCCTACCTGAATCCTGAAAAAACTCACTCATTTTTATCTTTTTTATCACAAAATCCCTATGCTTCCCATCTCCTCCTCTTTCTCATCTTAGAATTATCAAGAAAATTATGGTTGCATTCTCTAGGACTACATTCTACAGAGTCAATTATACCTCTGATGTCAAAGAAACTTGCCTGAGATTAACTTATAGCTTTGCACTTGCATTTGATTTCTCTCTGGAAAAGAGGAATACGGCTATTTTACAGGAATCAAGTCTTCTCCTCATAATAAACAACTTCCACTAATCAGAAGAGCAGCACAATGGCAATATATTCAACCAGGCGCATAGCTGCTTGTGTGTGCATTACTAAAGAAAAGGACTCCTGCTTAATCATTATATTTATAGGTACTCTTAAATCCATTCCAAATGGGAAAAAATTGAAAAGGTTAGGAAGGCTAAAGCATGAAAGTACAATTTCAGTCTCCAATTAAATATTACTTTTGCCATGGTTAACAATAATAATAGTAAATAAAACACATGTAACATAGTAATTAATTTTTATATTACTAAAAACACTGCAGAACTGTAAAGTAAAAAACTAAAGATATGAGCAAAATTAGTAATCTGACATATCTTTCACATATATAATTTATATGGATGAATACAAGTGGCTGAAGAATATTACCTTCATTTTCAGAAGTTTGACATTTTACCTGTAGCACAACATCAAAGGTACTCTCTGGATTTTCTCTGGAAGTAAAAACAACACAATTGATTAGTCCTACAGGCATCACAAAACCGGAAACCAACTAATTACAGAGATATTATCTCTGCTGTACAAGGAGCACTATACGTTTCAAGGTTCAACTGCTAAGAATGTTAACCTTCGTAACTGTTTTTCATCTCATGTCATAAAGTGATTCTTGTTCTTCAACCCATGATGAACTACACACAAAATTGCATCAGGATTCCAGCTCAACAAACATTTTTTTGTTAAAGATTCCTGGACACACAGTGGTCAATTGCTTGGACAGGTAATACACAACCCAGTTCCATATGGGTAGCATATCACAACTGGATGATTGGGAAAAGTAGGAGAGATCATGCTGAAGTGGAACAAATGGTCATAGGAATCCACATAGAGATTGACAAATGCAGTGATTCAAATATCATGCAGTAACATTTGCCTACAGATCCTGAGGAAAATGACTAATTGCCCTGCTGTTATTCCAACTAAGTAAATGATAAATGACTTATTTTGGGAAACATGTACAAAAATATATAAGTATGTAATCAGTTAGTGTGCATTTCTTTGTAGTCCTGTACATCAGCCAGCCCTTCATTCATTTCACCATACCGTATGTTGAAATAAAAATCCAACTATGTAGGTAGATTGATTGATTGATTGATTGATTGATTTGGGATATTTCTAACACGTCCAATCACTGTCCGTCTCTGGATGGCTTACAAACAAAATTCAATAAATACAACAATATAAAAAATCATAAATACCCCAAACTGAAGTAAAACATAATTAAAATCTTTTAAGCAGATTAAAAGCAGGTGAAAAGCAGCTGTTTTTGAAAACTAATTTATAAAGTTCAATGACTAAATGTCATTATCTATTTAAAATACTCTATATTTGGCATTCAGGATTAGACTGCTTCAGGGTCATTCCACACTGTGATTACAGCTTTGAAAAAGAACATGGTGTGAGTCTTGGCCCATGCAGCTTCCGTCCAGTTTGTGTAGCAGTACCAGCACTTCCTGTTTATGCCCTGTAAATGTTATGAGACCAGCCCGGTGGCATGAAACGACGACCTGTGTGTTCCCAACTTAGCAGGAGTCATCAGCACTCCTCTGCGATCTTCCGTGTCCTGTCAGAGTCAGCAAGCATGCCGCCTGCCACCCATTCCCCATTTCCACTTAACATCCTGTCCCTGGACCATCTGGTGCCACATGCAGACCAAAACTCTGTGCTGTTAAGCAACAAACAACCCAGAACTGACCCTACCATTTGCCTCAACTAGCCAGATTTAAATCTGAAGTTCTGCTAATGATGCATTTCTACAGCTGACGTTGCAAGAGTACTTTTATTTTTCCAGTCAGAACATGAGGTAGAATCTAACTAGATTAACACAGGGAGATGCATCACTGCATTTCATATACAGGGAGTCAGAATTTAAGGCGCAGTGTGCATATCAAAAAGTTTACTGCCAGCAAACATCTAAGACAATCATTTGTGGAATGCTGACCACCTAAAACAAGGAGAAAATAAACTCTCTTTCAACCTGGGTCAATTACAGGATTTTGGGGTAATTGTTTCAGATGTTACTGGCTAGAAAGTCCTAATCAAAAATGGCTTATTCCATGCAGAAGTATTCAGCATGACCTGCAAAAGTGAACCTCATACAAATTAAGTAGCAATTGTTGTAATAATAGAAACAGCATGTAGATGAGGAAAGAGATATGAGGGACCCCTGAAGTTACTAGAGGAGGGAAATTTGTGGAGAGGATGTGAAGAGGGATTAGGGAGAGAAGCACTTCACCCAAAAATCAGCCTTTGCAGATTTGCTATGAAAGTAACAGAAACAGAATGAAACTACTAGAACATCTGACTGCATAAGCCAGGGGAAGAAAGTTCCAGTCCCAAGAATCGATGCAGAATAAAGAGATCAGAATTATCTTAGGACTCGCTGCTGAGCTGGAGCCATTTGTCTCAGTTTGTTGTTACCGCTCCTGCTACCATTGTTGTTGTTGTTGTTCTTATAACAGCAACAGCAAGTGTGACTAAGAGCAAACAGATGCTTATATCGGCAAGATAAGGAAGATTATCGAGGGATAGTAACAACTTCAACTGACCATTTTTCCTGCCCAGTTGGAAGTATACATGGTTTTATCAGTATGTATGCACCCTGCCCTATGTGGGGACAGTAAGGGGAAGGGTAGTTGCAAATGTAAATACATTTGAAAGGACTATAGTGCAGTTAAGATGGACTGTGATAGGAGTCCAAGTCAGGAGTCCTTCTGCTTGATCATGTGAATAAGCAGTAACTGCATAAACTGAAGGTCCAAAACAAGGGGCCCCAAGAGAAGCTGAATCCAGGAAATCTCTACTGGTTCCAAGAACTTAAACCACAAAGGTTCACAAAAAACCAAGAGGAATGTAAAAAGAGCTAGCTGTAGATGTGCGTGTTTTAAATGCAAGTTAAATCAAATAAAATGGGAATGACTTTGAGCCATGCATTGTTTTGTTGTTATCCCTACAGTACGCACCTCATGCCCTACACTCTCAACCCAGATGCACCAAGATGATGGAAGATCACACCTTAAGGCTTTACCTCCCTGAAAATGCAGTCCCCCCACAACATGTGTGCGCATTTGCTTTCACTTGAGGAAAACACTGGACACTATCATACGTCCAGACATAATACCAGGCAAGATTTCAATCCTGTGCCTGTTTCCTCAGCACCCCAATGTGTTCAGATCTTCCTATTCCCAGGGGAACCTGCACAGAATTACAGCCTGAATAGAGCTCCTTACGCAGATCCTCTCCCGCACTAATTGCAATACAACTTGGGCAGTTCTCAAGCTACTTTTAACCCTAACCGACTAAAGAGAAACTCCTATGGTAGCAGTTCCTTCAGCTTTAACCACAACCTCTTATCTCAGAAACTAGATAATCATCTCATAGACCTCTAGCTCTGAATTAATCATAATCATTTTCTGGGCTTCCTGCTATGACTAGCTAGCTACAAGTTTGCATCCATAAAATTGCCTTTCTTCTTCGCTTGTCACCTCCCACCCTGTTCTAAAGTGTCAGGTCAGAACTATAAATGTCAGGGAGATTTTTTTCAACTGGTTCATCATAGATAGTTGGCTGTCTTTTTGCACAAGTAGGAGTCAAACGTATTATCACTTAAAAACTACTCAGAATATAAGATTCCAATTGACTTCCAGGGTCAGGGCCTTCAATGTAAAATACCAGAGAAAAACAACAATTATTCCTTATTCACTTTACAAAAAAGCTAAATCCTTGGAAAGTGTACATTAGTTGCAACCCAATCTTGAAATTAGTACACTAAGCAAATGCACATCCGTGAACTTGAAAGTGCCCACTATTAGCAGGAGCTGAAGGGAAGATCCAGGAGGTTACTCAAAGCTGCAACTCTCCTAATGTGAAACCGTTCCGAGCACCTGTTCGAGTGACTTGTCAGGCTTAGACGTGTGGGTGATATGACACGCCTGCACCCAGGTCTCTGCACGTTCCTAGAGAAACACTTCCACGAGAATGACCTTCCAAGATATTAAAACACTGCTGAGTTCCTCCTAAACCTGCAACTGAGGTTTGCAAAGGAAGGGCCTTTGCACTCACTTCCTGGATGCCCTATGTTCATGATTTAGCTAAGAATGCACACTAGGCATGTGGACCGAGGCCCTCCCATGGAATTGCCAAGTGCCCAGAAAAGCATTGCCTTTGAACAGCAGCTTGGTTTGAAGAAATCCACGCCAGAGGCTTTCCACTGCAAGGCATGGGAAAGTCCTGCCGCTTGCTAGACAGACCTTGCCGCTGCCCGAGGCACAAGGCCCAGTGGAAAGCGCCAGATCGCTCTGTCTCTCACGCACGCACGCACGCACAGCCCAGGTGGGGAAGCAAGACCAGCGTCCGGCCCCATCAGATCCGTGCCAAGCGCACGACCGGACCGCGGGCATCGGGGCGAATATGGAGCGCAGGAGAGGGGCACCGCGTGGGATGCTACGGGGACGCCGGGTTCCCTTCGGTCGTCCCGAGGGGAATGCCCGGGGGCACCTGGGGCAGAAAAGGGGGGCGGAGGCGGGGCTGGGAAGCCTGGCGCAAGCCGGCCGGAGCGCACGGCGCAGCGCGCCTTCGCTGCGCAGCGGCCCGCCCGAGGTCAAGCGGCACCGGCGCCTGCCGAGCCGGCGAGCAGGATCGCGGCCCCCGGGCACGCGCGGGGCCGGCGCCGCGCTCGCCCCTGCGCTGACAGCAGCCCCTCCCGGCCAAGCCGCGGCCGCCGCCTGCCGTAAAGGGGCCGGGGAGGTCTGAGGCCTAGCGGCGCGCCTCCCCTGGCGCCCCCCGAGACCCGCCGGGAAAAGCCGGCTCCGCGGCGCGCCCGCCCCCCACACTCACTTGATCCTGCAGTCCATGGTCGCATCGCGGGCCGCGGAGGGGGCAGCCCGGGCGGCGGCGCTGGCGGCGGCGGCGGCACCCCCGGAGGGCGCGTGGGAGCCGGCTCGGCAGGGCGAGCGGGCCAGGAGGGGCGCGCCGGGGCGCTCCGCCGCAGCTCCGTGGCGCGGAGGGGACGCGCGGTCGGCCGGCGGGCGGGCGGGCGCTCGCTACGCGCGCCTCCGCCGAGGGTGGCCCATGGCTGGCTGCTCGCCTCCTTGGCCCGTCGTCACGGCGGCCGCGAGAGCAGCAGCAGCAGCACCGCCTCCCCGCCTGCCTGCCTGCCTGCCCGCCCGCCGCCGCCGCTGCCGCAGCTCCTCCGTCGCGCTCAGTTCCTGTCGCGGCTTCCTCGGGACCTTGTAGGAAGCAGGAAGCGCTGCCGGGGCTTGGCGGACGGACGGGCTGGCGCTGGGCCGCTCCGGGAACAGAGCTGGCCGCGCGCAGCCGATGGGGATGGAGGGGAAGGGGGCGCCCTGGGCAGCCTGAGCCGGCGCCTGCTTCGCCCGGGCCCCTCGCAGGCAAGCCAGCGGGTGGCCAGTCGGCCTGGGAAAGGGCCCGGCGCTGCGTCTTGGGCACAGCTTGGACTGCAGCCCTCCCGGGGCAGACCTCTCGCCAGCGGCCCGAACGCACGTGGGCACCGCCGAGGGCCGCGCATCAAAGGGCACAACCTGGCAGGGGCGATTGGCTCCCGAGCGCAGGCTCTGGGTTCAAATCCTGCTCGCTGGGCGCCCAGCAGCTTGCCCACCCCAGCTGCAGAATAGGCTGAATGCCGGCTGCACAGAGGACCGGTTAGGAGACACGTGTGTGCAGCTCCTCTAAAGTGTCTAATGTTTTGCTCTCTGTGAGGATTGGGACAATGTGTAATTAGAATAAATAAGGGCCTGGACCAGCGTAGCATTAACCAGGTGAGGTATTTGGTGGTTGTTGTTGCTTGTATCTGACAGCAGCTGCATGAATGGCAGCACTTTTCCATAAGTCCTCAAAGCCCTTCACATACCTTATCCCCATAAGCTTTATAGTAAACCTGGGAGAGACTGTGCCATCCTCGTGAGGTTGAGTAATAAAGATCTCCTTAAGCCAACCTAATGCCTTCATGGCTGAGTTAAGATTTGTAGCAGGAGTTTCAAAGCTCATTAATTTAACCACTATATTCCATTAACGTGCAACAGTGTGGGCGTCTAAACCAAGGGGTTCTCACACATCCTCTGCCACCTGCATGTCTGTGGTTGCATGATCAGAATCATTAAATATATCTTGGCTTCCCTTGAATGAGCAATACTCTCTTGTACACACAATCCCAGAACACACGGAAGGCCACTAAACACAAATCGGTTACTATTTCAGCCACGTTGACAGCCTTCTGCCGATACATTTTCAGCATACACTTACAGGTGAAGTTGGGGTTCTGCCCCATCTTAGGGATTTGATGTAAAGAACCGGTGGAAACAGTAAACAACACTGCACAAATGCATGATGTGTATATGTGGCTTATTCAGTTAGAATGAATTTGTGGAGTATGGACATGAGACTTGTATGGGATAAAGGTAATGTTTAGTCCTGGTAAGCATAAAGCTCAGCTACTATGCTTTCAGATCTCTAGGGGGAAATCGAGGGAGAATGCCTGTAATCCGCCAGACTCAAAGGATTAAAGACATTCTACTCGGACTGGAATCACAGCGCACGCTCCTCCTGCACCCTGCAAGTCAGCCGGTCGATCCATTTTGTCCTTCTAGCAGTGGCATGTCTGACAGGGAGGAAGGAGGCTGGCATGTCAGCGGAAGGCTTTGGCAGTCTCCCCACCCCCCCAATTGCCTGGAATACCCCCTTTACCCTTTTCTCAGGTTTGCTCTTATGACTCTGGAGAGACAGCTAGTGTGGTTCTTCCTACACCAGCTACAAGATGGTGAAGGGAATTCAAGGCCAGATTTCTAGATCTGAGGAGGAGCTCCCAGGATCCAAAGAATCCTGTTGCCCCTTGGGACTGTCTAGGGGCCGTGGAATCATGCTGGGGTAGTTATAGCCTTGCAATTGAGTAGGCAGTAGACACTGGCCTTTTGGATCCTGCATCTTTTACATAGATTTTTGTTGTTGTTTAGGAACCAGCCATGCCTATTTCCTTTATGCACTTCACCCTTCACTATAAATAGTGCTTCCCTATTTTTAGCAGCATTTTTCCCCAAAAAATAAGTTTACAAAGATAAAATAAGGTAGAGCATTGTGGGATGTTTTTGCTCAGTTTTTTTTTCATTAATACATTTATGTTTATTGTGTTGACCCAAGTATGTGTTGAATGAGCAATACCCTCTTATACACACAATAATATATACTTGGACCATTTATGTTTAAATGACCTCCATCCCATCTCCTCATCAAGTGGAGTAAAGACAAGACAAGTGAGAAACAAAGCTTCATTCAGAAAGCTGAAAATGAACATTACAAAAATCTTTCAGACAAATGTTTCTCTTCCAACCTGTAGCACAAATTGTTTGTTTTCAATCTATGGCTACAGTGTGTAAAATCAGGAATTCAAAAACAAGCTTGTGTTGCAGCATTGGGATGGTTACAATCTTCTAAAAGAAAGATTGTAACCTTTTAGGCCTGTTGTGTCGAAAGGTAGCATAGTCTAAAGGTGTCGTTGTTGCCTTGAATACCTTACGCTTTCTGTTTCTTGGGTTACAAATTCCTTCTCAAAAGAAGAAACAGACTAGCACAGTCATGTGCCCTACTTTATAACAGGCCATACTTTACTTTGAGGACTATCAGAGGGCAATTCTCTGGCCGAAGGTGTCCGCCCTTTAAGGTCTATGCTGCCCAGCCCAAGTCTGGTGGAAAGATAAAGACCCATATCAATCCAGGAGGCAAGGGCCTTGGGATTGCTGTCAGCAAGTAAGCAGGTATGCATGTCAGCTGATCACAATCTTTGCTACCAAGCCTCTTCTGGAAAGGTGAGGGAGGTAAGAGCCAACATCCAGTGGGAAGGAAATAAAAAGACCCGCAGCACAAGAGACCTTAAGCATGTAACTAGTCTGAAGCGAACCACTTATTCAAACTGGTGCAGTCTCCAAGGTACCTTGCATCCTCTTTTTTGGGCATGCACTTCCTCTTTATTTGATGATGTGAAAGTACGTCCCTGCGACCAGCTCCTTCGGGCATAGGGGTGGTGTATGTGGTCCGCTTCTGACGTCGCACCGAACTGCATAGGACAGGAAGGACATACCGGTCATGCTCCCAGCTACTTCCCACCCAGCATTTGATAACATCCGCACTGTGGGTAGCAGGAGTTTGTGGGACCTGGAGTGCATTAGCTGCAGCAGGAATGCGGCAGGTAATTGATGGTTCCTCCAGATCCTGAGGGCCACACCCTGTTCAACCCAAGCTAGAGATGCTCCGCAGAGTCAGGTTGCCTGGCTACATACTACCATTGCATGCTCTGTGTGCTGTTCTGGTAGCAGCCAGCCAGCCTGGAGTTGTTTTTGTCCCCACGACTATGGGGAGGGATCTCAAATGGTCTAATGATAGCCACTCGGGACCAATCCAAATGTTTAGGCATTTATTCATCAGTGAGGCTTGTTATTCCTCGCTCTGTAAAATAGCTGAACAAACAGGATCTTCAAAGCTGCTTCTGTACGAGTTAATTGCTAATAAAGTTTAAGCTCTTCTACTGCATTAATATATATATATTAAGATGTCTCCTGCCCTATGTGCCCTCCTGCCCCTTGCGATTTGAAGCAGAAATCCTGCTGCAGGAGCCCTCCTTGAAAGAGATCAGGAGAGTGGCTTCCCGGAGAAGGGCCTTCTCTGTGGTGGTGCCCCGACTGTGGAACACTCTCCCCAGAGAGTTTCACTTGGCTCTGATGCTTTTTTCCTTTCGGCACCAGGTGAAAACCTTTTTATTGTCCCACTATTTTAATTGCTAATGGACTTAATTGTGGTTTCTATGTATTATTGGATGCTGTGCTACTTTTAATTCTTACTTTATTGTTGTCATTGTGAACCATCCTGAGATGTTAGTGACGGGACCGTATACAAAATTTTTCAACAAAACAAATAAATAAATGCCTCCCAAGCTGGCCTTCAATAAGCTCTGGAGTCCTGCATCCAGCAGTGGGTTGGACTCAATGGGCTTCTAGACCCCTTCCAACTATCCTGATTCTTACACTCTCTGTGAAAGCAACTCGGGAGGCTTGTAAAACTGAAGCTGCTGAAGATCCTCATTCAGGTCCATCAACAATCGTGTCCTACAGCAGATTTTATAACCGGCCTGTCCAGTTCTCCATGTTTTTGCTAGCAGCCTTCTGCCCTTACTGCTGTTGGCTCCTATTGATAGAACTCATGGATAGCAGTTGCACCATGCTTGGTCCACCACTTTGGCTTATGACCGTCATGCTGCCTGGCATTGCCTGATCCTGCTTCTTGAGACCATTGCCTGATAGTTCCACAGACCTATCCACATTCTCTATTAACTTGTTCCTGCCTGTACTTATCATAGGAGCACAGACCTCCAGCAACAATTAGCAGGCCTGGCCCTTCAGATGGCTTCAACTTTCAACAAAAAGGCAGAAGTTTGCAAATACATATGAAATGGAAAGTAGCAAGGACACACTTTCCTTAAAACAACAACAACTTACTCAAAGCAAGGCCTATTCTTTTCATGCCTGTTTCCAAGCCTGCTTCTTGGTGCCTGACAAATCTGGTTACCTTCCTTATTTCCACAAAAGATGAGAATAATAGTGTAAAGTGTAGTCCCAATTCACATATGAGGAACTGCTTTGGTTTTTCACAAGCAACTGAAGGCTCAAAGACCTGCAATCAGTAGTTATTCTTACATCTGAAGATATAACACTCATTCAGTGTAACCAAGATTGCCCCAGATGGTCACAAGGCTTACGCCTGGTTCATAGAATGTAGGAGTTTATGTTGAGCCACTCGGAACAGTAGTTTACCATCCCAAATTTAAACCAGATGGGTGATATAGATTTAAATTTCACCATGGAATCAAGTAGGATTTGACTCTAATGCTTGATAATTAAAGTATCAATTTGATGGTTTCAGGATTACCTTTCCAGTTGGAATGTTATTGTATATTTCTGTGGCCTGCTTTCT